AAATATGCACTTTTTTCTAAAATTGACAAAATACGCAAAAATATGCACTTTAAATTTTTTTATTTAATCTTGTCATTGTATAAAATGGATTTCTAGCTTGGTCTGCTATAAATTAAGGGCATACAGAAAAATATGCAACTCCTACAACTTCCGAGCCCTAATAATAACTAATAATAGGTAACTATGGTAAAATATAATTATATTTATGCAGCATCAGTTTTTACGAAAAATCTAGATGGCAAAAGCTTGAAATATTCACCAAGTATTGAGACTAGTATTACTGTAAAATATACAGATATTTTTTTCGACAAATGTTGGACTTATTTTAATTTTATATTATACATTAGTCAATAGTTATATCATTATTCGCAATATTTTTAGAAAAAATTATTTACAGAATTATAAAAGGTCAATAATAATAAAAATAACATAAACAACCCTTAAAATACGAATCCGTTCGTCTCAACTTGAATTAATTAATAAGAATACAATGATTAACCTAATCAATAATACTACAATATATTATATATCAGAGCTAATTTATTATTATTTACATTAAAATGGGTTAATGCAATTAGTTTTACTGGTATATATCTTTTTACATATTTTTTTTTTTTAACTTATTATTACGAAAAATAATCCTRACCTTTTTTTTCAACTTTATTTTATCATAAAATTATGAAAAACAATTATTATAGACCTACCTTTAATGTATATTTTTTAAAGTACATTTGTTTCGTTYCAATCAAGTTTGAAAAACAATGGTGATTATAATACGTGTTGATTGTTTCAGCGTGTACCTACTTCTATAGGTTGTGTTATGTTTTAATCCGACAATAATTAATCATCACATTCTAAAAATTATTTCGAGTGGAATATATACCAGTGATGGTGATGAATTAACTGTAATATGGTATTAAAATCATATAAATATTATGTAAATATATAATACAACTCTAAACGTTAAAAAAAAATTACCAAGTTATTTTATTTCAAGTCTTTCTCGAAGGCTAAAATTTTTATACCTCACAATCTACTCCATATTTCTAGTACACATTACAAACTACAAAGATAATGAACCTTTTCGCTTTTGTAACTATATCAATAGTTAATTTGGATGTCTTTTCCTATCATCTCTATATTTGTAAATTGATTCTTAATTTAAATTGTACAATTAACTTAGTCATATCTTATAACTTATATTATTTATGGTGCTCCGCTTGTATATTGTAATATATATCTATTACTTTAAATAAATTAATACATGATAATAATTATATTAAACGAAAAACCACTCCCAAGAGGGACCCACATCAAGTGTTAAATTATATAATAATATAGGTATGTACTTATAAATAATTTCCGAATAAGTAGGTACTATTTTAAGATGTAATTATTAAAATAGTATGCAAATGATCGGAATATCTTATCACAATAATTAAGTTTAAGCAGATCTATCTAATTACTTATACATTATGTATTTTTTTATTACCTACTTATTACATAAAAAATTAAAAGCAAAATAATTAAATTTTAACATTAAAAATAGGAATTTAAAGATTACTCTTTAAAATAATGTCCATGTCACTAATAACAACCCTAAACATAATAAAATATTCTAAATCATCCAAGACTTTTAGTATGATTAAAACTTAATTATTTTGCTTTTAATTTTTTATATAATAATATAGGTATGTACTTATAAATAATTTCCGAATAAGTAGGTACTATTTTAAGATGTAATTATTAAAATAGTATGCAAATGATCGGAATATCTTATCACAATAATTAAGTTTAAGCAGATCTATCTAATTACTTATACATTATGTATTTTTTTATTACCTACTTATTACATAAAAAATTAAAAGCAAAATAATTAAATTTTAACATTAAAAATAGGAATTTAAAGATTACTCTTTAAAATAATGTCCATGTCACTAATAACAACCCTAAACATAATAAAATATTCTAAATCATCCAAGACTTTTAGTATGATTAAAACTTAATTTTATAGTCATATATATTTAAATAAAAACATCACAACTAAAGAATGATCAAGTAGGCTAAAAGGGTACTGATATCGAACAGGATCACAGATGATTACTCTTTCTGAGCAAATCGGCTTAACTAGAGAAACATATGTCGATTACTATATTTTCCTTTGTGGTACCGAAACATATATTGTTATTATGAATAGCATCTAAACTGTGCGTCACTAAATAGCAGAACTAGGGCTGACATAGTCTTACTGACAATCAATAACAAAATATAAAGAAGAAAAGAAAAATATCCATCACTAAGTTAATAAAGTAAATTAGTAAATTGTATACAGTGAAACCTCTAAATACCGTACACGCTCGGTCGCTTAAACGTCGTCCGCTATTTGGAGGTGTCCGCTATTAAGAGGGAAAATACAGTGAGTACACATTTCACCGTTCCCAAAATTCCGTCCGTTATTTGTAGATGCCCGCTATWGAGAGGTGTCCGTTAAAGGAGGTTTCACTGTAATGATTAATGATTATGCTATAATTATAATCTTCCATTAAAGTACCTATTATACTCTAAAATAATAAAATATTCTAATTCAAATATAATTCATTTTTTAATTTTCAATAATTTATTTTAACACAGCTTATACTATCATTCAACTTTAAAATAATAAGATAGGTATTTATTTTTATTTTAGTATAATACAATAGTAGAAATACAGTCTAAGAACAATTTCTAAAATTCTTTTATCTGTTTGTTAAAAAAATTATTAACTATACAACATTTTATCAAGATCTTTACATCTAGTGATAGAAAACCAAGCAAAGGATATTGCATTCAGACTTCTTAAAACCACTTTGAGAAGAATTTATAAGCTACCCACAATAATTGGCTTTGACTTTAATCTTTTACTTGTTAGTCTTTTCTCGATATAATAATGCTGTCTTAGTGTCTTATTATTTTTAACCCACTAATATAGCCAATATAGGTGTTATATTAATTTCTGTATAGGAAAAAACCTTCAAACATATTTTAAGAGATACTGAACCACTTTATTTTACTTTGCAAAATAAATTAAAACATACATTTTGATGTACTTATTAAGTAATTATAAAAATTTGGCAAGACCTGTATTTGAATTAGGATAAAAACAAAAAGATNGGAAAATACGCTAAAAAATACTAATCGAAAGCGCGTAATAGAAAATTAATCAAATATAAGATATTATGATTATAGTACGACACT